CAAACAACTTTCCTAACTACCAACATGCTCAAAATCCTTCAAAGAAAAATTGATTCTATAATTAAACACAAATTTAATATCAAATGCACACTTCCACAAAACTGGTTCTACAACCTTAACATATTCAATATCAAACCAATCTCGGACTTACAATCCGAAGTTCTTATCTCCAACCTCCAATACTCCCTCACTAACCCCACAACTCTTTCTCTAAAAGAACTTGAAATCAATACTATTCAAAAATTCAATTGTCAACCACTCTGTATTTTAAAAAAAAACTATTTCGTACACACACATAACATCACCTGATAGAGTACTCAATGTTATAAATTCTATGGCAAAAAAATATTATATATTCTATATTCAGATTAAAGACTATATTGAAAATCAGAAATATAAACAACAAATGATATACTCTCACCCATCTCAGGTACAAAGTATAATTTCTTCTGAAATAACATTAATATCTTTATTGCAGGACAATAGCTTTTCTAGCCTATATGCGTCAGATAATATCTCAGATAAACAAACAAAAAAGAGGCAATCGAAGTTCAAATTTGTTCAAATTTCTGATCCAATTGAACAAGCATTAAATGAGAGAGAGAAACGAATAAAATATTCAGATTATATATTAAATACTCACAAAATAACTATCTCTAGCAATTCTTAATCGGTTTTCTTATTATCCATAGTTTCATATTTTGATAGTAAAAGTCTGTTGTGAATATTAAGTTTAGTAATGATTTTGACTGCTTTCTTGCAATTTATACATTTTTTTTAATGATAAATTGTCAGAATCTATATTGGAATTCGCAGGAACATGCCACTTATCAAATGTGATATTATTATTTTTACACACATCTATCTCCTAAGAAATTTGATTAGATACTAAAGGTTTATTATTGCAAAGCAATAGGACTTTGTCCCTATCTTGAATTTCAGTTGCATAGTTCACTTCGAATTTATTCTTGACCTTGTGCATGTTTACCGAAATAAAATACTCTTTACCATTACATATGAGTTTTAATTCTCGTTTCGACACAAGTAAATCATAATTATATTTGTCTAAGAGAGTATTTGGTAAAATTAGCATTGGCTTGAGATATTTAACTATTGCAAAATCAGAATATATAGTGCAATCTTGGGCAAAATTTATTGGTACATTGCAAACAATTCCAAGTGATTCAGTGGAAATAGTAGCAATACCTCTAAGATCATGTTTTTGGCTTGTATCAATATGTAATTTTAGTCATTCAGCTATATTCTCAAACATAATTGAAAAATTTGCATTAGGATCTACTGTTGCTACCAGAATTACCAATCGGTTAATTTTGCATTTTGTAATTATGACATCCATAGCTGGATCTTTTTTTTAAACAAAATATATCTCCATAGAATCGTCTAGTATTTCATTCTCCCCATCAGAATCAGATATTTATGGAGCTGGGTTTCGATAATTCATAAAATCAGGTCTTGTAACAGATAAATTCATGTTATTAATATTGTTTTTAATTGTTTCTATAACCTCTGGATCATTAAATATAGCTAGAATAATTTTTCGAATTTGTAAATCGATAATCATATCTGATTTCTTTTGTGAAGTATATTGAATTGGAGATTCAAGACTCTGTCTCTTCTTTGGACTAGACTTTTTTTTGGAGGATGATTTACTCTTTTGCTTTACTTTTTTTTTTATTTAACATCATTAACAGTATTTATAATTTTTGCGATTTCAGTCTCAGTTAAATCATTCTCAGAATTAGATTCTGATTCAGACTCAGTTCCAGACTTAGAGCCAGAGTCAGAATTGAAATTATTATTAGATAAGTTTGTATTTGAACTAGAATAAGAATTCACAACAACCTTATTGACATTACCTTTCTTTTTAGGTCTATTCTTTTTTTTATTTTTTGAACATTTAGAAGAATTTGAATGATGACCAATTTTATAGTATCCTAAGCAATGGTATTGTGACTTCATAATCTTTTTAACAGCTCTGGCTGTATGTAAATTTAATTGTCTTTGTATAAGATTGGCCAGTTCTTCATCAGAATTGAATTTATTATTTTTTATTACTGGTTTTGAAGGTAAACCAGGTTTAGGGATAGGAACAAATTCTGGAATTTCTCCAGTAATCCATTATAAAAATCTACCAATATTTGTATTCTATATAGTCTGATATGTTCTTGGAGGATGTGGTCTATAGTAAGATTTAAATGATTGTATTTGCTGAGAAACGGGTTGCGAAGAAATAGGCTGGATTGTATGAATGTCATTATACTTTTTATCAAATTTTCAATTTCTTTTTTGATTATACCTATGTTATTCGTTATATAAGGATCTTTTGTATTAGTTGTAGATTATAAACAAGAAGTGACTAGATGAAAATTGGGATCATATTGCCCTAACATCAATTCAGCTTTCTGTCTTTCAATTTATTCTAATTTTGGTAATAAAGTGGAAATTTGATTTTCAAGACCAATATGTTTTACTTTTAATTTATTGTAAGATCTTAAAAGAATTGTTGTTTAATCATTTCTTCCCAATTTAATACTGGGAGTGCTGAATAAGCAAGTACAACTATTCTTTTTAATTGTGTATAGAATCAGCTTATAGGATCAGTTCCTTGAATAATATTATTAAATACAACTTTTGATTTTTTAGCAGTAATTATTGGATAATTTGTTCTGAGCCAGTATATTACTTATCCAATACGAATATCAGGGAAAATAGTATTACCTCCTGCATTAGCATTGGGAGCATTGGGAGTTAAATCTGTTAGTTGTCCACTAGCTATTAATCAATCTTTATCAAAACAGTATGTGCTGGCACTAATGGTATAGCAATTGCATTGTTATTAGCTGGAACTGTATTTCTTATTTGAAGAGCTCCACCTTTAAACTGATTAGCATTGATATTACGTAATGCATTATTATTAGCTAATCCATTAATAACTTCAAGATTGGCCAAGTTAGTATTATTACTAATATTTTGCAATTCTCAATTTTTATTCTTGAGACTTGTTTCATATCAATCTTTTGCATCACCTTTCAAACAAGTCTCAAAAAATCCATGAGTTCTTACTTTGGTTCGAGCATCTGCAAGTGGATCAAGTTCAAATACTTTACAATATTGCCTAAAATTTCTAATATATTTTTCAGGATCTTCTCCAGCTTTTTCATAAAATAGGGGTGGTGCATATCTTACCATTCTTCTATATTGATTATTTATAGGTTTATTATTGTGTAGTAATAAAATTTGAACTTGTAAATTCAAAATTAATTGGCATTGTACAAATTTTTCTGTCAATAATATGATATTGTGTCTTTTTTGTGCTCAGATAGTTAATTGCCCATATAATTCACGAGATCTCATAAATATGCTTTTATTTTTCCACTTCTGATATCTGGCTATAAGTTGGTTACACCAATATTCTAACATACATTAGGAAATTTTTTTGGTGGAGATTTCTGGAGATCTTCACCCAAAAAAAATTTTTGAAAATCTTCAAGAATTTTTAATATAAAATTTTTTAAAATAAAAAAACCAGAAATTTTTATTTCAAAAAAATTTAAAATTCTTTGAAGTAATAATAATTATTTTAAAATAAATAATTATTTAAT